CTCCACCAAAATCATCCACCTGAGCTACAAATCTTCCCCACTATTTTAACTTGTTTTTAATGACATATTTAACTTATCAGTATAGGGGTTATGGAGATTAATAAGTTTTGATTGAGATCACGGACCGACTGATGTTAGATCACTATTGAGAACCTGGAAGCATTAGACGGCCGTTTTGTCATATTGTGAGACTCTTCAGCGGTGCTCATCCACGATCACACACGCGGGATTCGAATCCAGGGCTTTCAGTCTCACATAGACCACTGAGCCGGCCGGAATCCAACGTTGTTAGTGTCTATCTTCAAACAATACACGAAATTGTGCTACCATCTTCCATTGTACTGGGGTAGATACCTGTCTCTAGCCGACATGGATTAGCTCCACTGGTCGCTGGTCCACAACTCTGTACTGATAGTTATCATGTGCTCACCAGTGACTAGCTTCGTGAGAGAATTCTTGGGTTTCTAGTGAGAAGCCACATGGTGACTTTAGAATCTTCACAGTTGAATTCACAATTCTATCTAAACTGGACAATCAATGAAAATCTGGAAGCATTGTAAAGCCTTTTCATCCTAGTATGAGCCTACTCAGAATTGCTAATCACAAGCCTAGGACTCGAGCCCAGGACTTCCTCGCGAACGCTTAACCTCTAGACCACTGAGCCAGCATCAAAAATGTGTAAATATCTAACTTCAATCAATCCATGATCTCGTGCAACCCTTTATCGATTGCTTGTGGTGAGTAACTCTCACACACCCGACATGGATGGGACTTCACTTGTCACGGTTTCTCACTAAAATTTAAATACATCACTTCTACCTGAAGTTCGTGTTGATGATGATGTTCAGAAGAACAATGAAAGCTTCACAACTAAAGCATCCAGCTCAGGGACAAAGACCTACCAAAGGTTTTATGAATAACAGACTTCTATCATCAGTTAGAACAATACGACAGAGTCAGTAAATCCACTGAAACTTTTCGAAAGTGCATCAAATTAAAATACCCCGAAGCATTATGAAAGAGTCATGCTATTACAAAGAACAAAATAAAACCCCCTCAATAAATGTTGAGTTTATCCTTACATTCAAACTGAATATTTCCAAAGATTATGGTAAGGATAAGAGCTCCTGATAGAACACCAAACTTGTATAATATATCTTATATTTCAAACACTCCAGTCGATAACGATTCATATCGAAACACCTGTTTTTCTAAACTAGGTTTTAAATATCACCTCTTCAAGGAAAGACCTTTTTTCTTAGGTACGATGGCTGGAACTGTAAAATAACATTTGATATTTTGACTGAATAGGTTTATGAAACATTTATCAGATAACTATGCTCTACAACTTAAACAGACTTTTATTTCCTTTTACTTACAGATTTTGAATGAGAAAACATCATATTGAATGATGGCATGAACGATACCAAAAAACTCAAAGTAAAACTGAAAATAAGAAAGACAAAATATTTGACAGATGTTTTGTTCTACTACCGGAATTCCCAACAGTGTGTGCCTCCGATCCCACTAGTGATCTTAATGCTTCAGTATTTCATGGTAGCTTTCATCAGTATGGCGTAATGAGAGTCTAACCAGCTCAGTATGAAAGCTAAATAATCACAAGTTACTTAGGTCTATTAAAAACAACATTTTTATAACAATCAAATGACCATTTTTTATTCACAACAAGTTTGCTTAAGGACGGAGTTTATCTGGAAAACTATAGAAAACAATAGATCACTAGACACTTATTTCACTAAGGTGTGAAAACCTTCAGCTACCATTTTCCTAATCCTATGAATGGGTTACATCCAGGACATGTAAATCCCTTATCACTAAACGTTTGGTGATTTTAGTAAGTGACTAAACCTTTTAGTGGTATAACCACTAATAACAAATGTAATACCGTACTGAAGATTTCAATTACCGAACCTTAGAAAAACTACTAATAAAAAAGTGCTTTCACCAAAATATAGAAGAATAATCTAAATTACTTCAAAGAAACGTATCTCAAAACAGGCTGAACATTACAATTTTAAAATCTATCTCTTTAAATTTAGCTAATCGCTATAGATATCTTACGCAGTAAATCTGACTAAACACTAAAACAAATGTATTTGTTCTAATTTAAAACGTAAATAGAGGTATGATGTTTAAATTTATCAGTGGTTTTATTGTTGGGCTCCATTCATTTATTGAGTTCAACATAATTTCACATTTAAATCATAGGGAAGCATTCCCTAAATCTACTAAAATTCCCATACGATTGTAGCCATACCATAAAGTAACTTATAATTATTATTTGCGGAAATCTATCACTGAAAACTGTTTAGAAATGTTTAAATTTCTCAAGACATACGTTTATGTTTACCCTTGAACTTCGCCGAACAATGGCGCCTATATATATAATATATAATATACATTATATAATATTATATATACATATATATATCGCAATAATGATGGTTTACTAACATATTACCGGAAGACAAAAATTGTAGTAAGATATGTTCAGTAGCTAATTCGTTGTTAAAATCTATTATTCCTAAAGGGCGTGGCACCAAATTATATGTCCTGGTGGTCGGTTTTAATCACTATGTAATAAAATTACTAGTTTTCAATATTTTATTATGCATCATTTATTCTGTTCATCTTACACTCAGGTCATAATGCTTTGCACAATATATGAACATACATAAACAAGGTAAACTGTTATGAAACAGCCAAAAGTGTCTATTATCCATAATAATTTTTTAAAGAAAAAACAAACATTTTAAGTGTAAACTAACTGATATAATTTGTAAAACTAAAATGTATTCACATTCACAATGAGCCATGTTCACAGGTGAAGGAATCTTATAATAACTATAAAATGAATAAATCACGCTTTAATCATTATATTTCACTATTCACTTATCAATCAGGAAATTTCAGTTGTATACTGAGAACTTCATAGCTTAAGATAATAATGAGTGGGACATTTTCAAAACTTGCCAATTTCTATAAGGTCTTTTTATGAAATAGCATTTATATGTATAAAAAATTAGCTGAACTATAAGTGGTCTCTCACGTAATCAGCTGTTGGATTAATATTTATCAATTAATAGTTGTGTTTTAAGCATTTAATAGGTTATGATGGAGAAACTCTGGAAGAAATGGAAGGTTTCAATTAACTGGGTAGCATCATCGATGAATGTGGAGAATCTGATGCAGACGTAAAGGCGAGGATCGGAAAAGCAAATACAGCATTCCTACAATTGAAAACCATATGGAACTCAAAACAACTGTCAACTGAGATCAAGGTCAGAATTTTCAATACGAACGTCGAAACAGTCCTACTGTATGGAGCTGAAACTTGAAGTACTACTACAACCATCATCAAAAGCATACGAATATTTCTAAACAATTGTCTACACAAGATACTCAATGTCTGTTGGTCGTATACCATCGACAACAGTCCACTGTGGGAAAGAACAAACCAACTTCCATCTGAAGAGGAAATTATGAAAAGACGTTGGAATTGTATGGGATGAACATTACGAAAATCATCAAACTGCATCACCAGACAAGCGCTAACATGAAATCTTGAAGGGAAACGGAAAAGAGGAGGGCCAAAGAACACACTGCGTTGGTAATTGGAAGCAGACGAATAGAATGAATAACAACTGGAAAGAAATGGAAAGGGTTACTCGGAGCAGGTTTGGATAGGGGATCCTGGTGAGCGGCCCACGTTACTCCATGAAGGGTAACAGGTGCAAGTAAGTAGATATGAAAATAATTCATTTTTTTTTATATTTACAAATAATAATATTTTATTAATTAAACAGTAAACATTTTAAAACTGTCATATTAAAATTTACAACTCTACCATCATAGCAACAAATAAGTGTCATGTAAATTTGAACAATTAAAGAAATTTTTATTGTATTGTTGTTTGAAATGAAATTATTCAAAATGTCAATGTCATTTATTGAATATAAAGCAAACAATTGTTTATTTTCCGAGAGGGCTTGTGTTGATATTATAGTAATTTAATAGTTGAATTCATGAGTGGCGCAATTCCATGGATCGATCGAAGTTAGACATTAACACCGTCGAATGCCGGCTCAGTGGTCTAGAGTTTGAGAGTTCACGTGCGAGTTCAATAGGTCCTGGGTTCGAATCTATCAAGGTGGGATCGTGAAGGCGCACTGCTGAGGAGTCCCATACTTGGATGAAACGTTCGTCCAGTGCTTTCAGGTTTTCCATAATGGTTTGGCCTCAATGGACTCATGAATTCAACTACTAAAATGTTTATTTATATAAATAAACATTGTGGAGTCAAACATATTTTATTCAACTAATAATGAATTTGTTGATGTAATATTTTCAGATTTCATCTTATAAATAATCATTGAAAGAGTTCTTGAATATCTGGGCTACCTGTTCCTGTCATCTGGATATTTCAACAAGTTATCTGTTCCTTGTCTGTTTTAACACATCATTATGCCTGTTAGTCTGATAACTTATTCAGGTGCATTTGTGAAAAGTTTACAACATTTCGCTGTACACCTCACAAACCAGCCCAATCAGGGACATCGTGGTTGCTGGCTACATGCATCGAAAAAAATATACATTATTCAGATGTCGAGTCCTGAACTGCTAAAATCTGCCTAGCGACCACTCAATATTTATCGCAAGGTTCGATCAAGAAATGAGATAAAGAAACCTGTTGAAACAATGTGTATTGAGAATTCTATATTGTACCAAAAATTTATTATTGAATAAAGCCACTAATAATAATATCACGTAATTGGGATGAAGGACAACAGTTATGTAAAATTTCATGGTAAATATAAGATAAAAGAACAGCTTTAATTCATGCTCCAAACTTCAAGATCTATACAAACCCAGACTGTATTCTATGTTGTGTGTTAGCTTAGAAATTACTAAACCCAGAATTATATGAATTTGAAAGAAATTTCCATGACAATAAAAAATGAAGAAATACTCTAACTTACAGTCGAAAACTTTCATTCCAAACAGGATTTAATGTTTGCTCTTTGACCTGAGTTGATTTCATTATTCCAACTGGGATATGTCCTTCTTTATCAACTACAGATTTAGACGATGCAGCGCCAGCCATTTTAAATGATTCATTATGAGATGTTTGTAGTTTATCACTTTGGTTTGTTCGCTTATTAAGAGATTGACTAAAACGTCGAAATGATGAACGCGTAAATGTAACACGATTATTATCGAAACCCTTTTTTCCTGAAGCGTTTCGCATTGTTTGCACAGTTTCTAAATCATTTTGACTAGATGTTGTAGTTGTAGTCTTTATAAATGAATCAGGAGTTGTAGATTTCTCATTCTGACCCACATAACGTCCAAATATTATTCCTAGAATACAATAAGGATCACTGAATCCTACAAAAACACAATAGCAGAATAATTATATTATTTTAAATTAATTAGTCGTAATTATTAAGCACACATTAAAAGGTTGTTTTATAATCACCGTTGTGTAACGAATGATCCAAAGATCTTAATTATACAAGAGAAAAATACCTATCTGCAATAAAAACAAAGAATTGAATGATATTCTACATGAATTCAATAATTTACAAAACTCAAGTATTTCTACATAAATTTGGAGATGAACAGAATTTCATTTCTTTGATGCTTTAGTGAGACGGCTCTCAGCAAAGGTTAATCATATTGACAGCCAGGTCAGACGGACAGTACACAAATTTCTGTGATTTAGTCCTTTGACCAAAGTGGGAAAATTAGCTTACTCTCTATCCCCGACAATATGACTAATTTACCCTGAAGATACTATCGAGGACAAATTGGATAAAACTCTATAGATGCTTTCAAAAATTTCTATCGTTTTAAGTTCAATGCATGTTTGTCCATAAGCGAGTCTAAAACTACTGATTATTCTATTTATAAATATCTAACCAACTAGTTATGTAGTCGTTCTATATTATGATTTAAAAGTACTTTAAATCAGAAATGTTTAAAAAACAGAAACATTGTCAGTTCATCATTTCAGTTCACATTTCCGAATCTATGTATTCAAAAATATTTGCAGGCCTTCATTTAAGCTAAGTCTTAAAAAAACGGCAATTAATCTCTCCCAATTTTAAAAGACCTACACATCAGAATTCCTTCATCCATTGTTCATTAGTTACTCGGTAGTGTGTGCTACTGACGTCGACAGATATAAGTAGTATGTATCATCAGTCGAAAACGGAATGCCTGGAAGCAGAAGGTTAAGAAAACCGAAGAGAAGAGAACGAAAACAGTGAGTTATTGACATAGAAAGGAGGCAACAATGAAGTCTGAGACAATTGGTGAATATTTTGCAAATGAAGTATTTACTGTATGGTCCATAGATTTTGCCAAGATATTCTGTAATGTCGTATTGAAATACATTTGGTTGTTCCCACTGATATTCTTGTTCAATACAACTTCACTAGCAAAATTAATTTCATAGAAATTATTCAGCCAAGAAAATCTCGGTCTAAGGTAAACTTTGTCATAGCTCAGGTGTCTATATGTGTATTAAACACCAAATAACCATATGTTAATTTTTTTATTAAGACTACATGTATGACTAATGTTGATTTATACAAGTGATTTTTATTTGTTTGTATCATATGACCGCTACAAACGACAATCCAATTAAATTTGACTGCTTCTTGTCTTCAATTTTGTTTTCGTGGAATTGATAAGTCCAATAGGTTTGGAATTAAGACAAGTTGTTTGTTGAAGAAACAAATAGAAACCAATGCAATGAAATAATTGACGATAAGTTTAAATTTTAACAAGCTATGTATAGTCAATGGCTTTATTTACTTTCAAGAGGTTCAAAATTTTAATCGTCATATTATAGACCAATGGTTCTTTAACAGAGAAATGAATAATCCTGATGGTTTAAATTCTCTACAGAAAATAAATACGAAACTGAGACACCTGAATTCTAAATTTTTGTTTTTATTTTTAGCTGGTACTTTCTTAGATGAATACAACTCTGATGTTACCATTTATGCTCAGACTATTCATCATCATTTCTACTTAGGTTTCTGCATCAATTATGATGTCCAAAGTTAAATAACTCTTCAAAACATACGTAAAAAGCTGAATATCTCCTACATTTGTAGTTTACAATGTATGTAATACATTACTTCATAATGAGATTTATCCTAAATTTAAAGTCCGTTCTTTAGCGTTACATTTCCTATCATTTCTATATCTTGTAAAACTTTATATCCGATATTGACAATTCCAACTTCTACTGTGGAAGTTTCTCGCGTATAAACTAATCTACCTTTCAGTTTCCACCTCATATCTGCTTGTTAAGACATTAAGTCGCTTGTTCACTGACGCTGAGGATAGTTGAACTATATATCTCACATGCTTCAATTTGTCTCCATTTTTTACAACTATTATTATCAATCAAACGATAAAATCGCAAATTTTTCATAAAATGTTTATGGATACTACACCAGTATTTTTAGTGTCAAGTAAATCTTGTTTATCGTGTTTTAATGTTCTACCGTTACTGGTTCTGTGGTGTATGCTATTTAGGTCGACAGGTATAAGTTGCATGTAACACCAATCAGAAATGGAAAAACCTGACAGCAGATGGCTAAGAAGATCAAGTGCAAGAAAATAGAATGAAAAATAGGAAGGAATATGGGCTATAATAATTGAATCATTCACTATTCTTATTTGTTTATTTCTTCAAAAGTTATCCCTCCTAACAAATAGATACTACACTCTGCACTGTGCCATGCATACATACAACTTAGGTAGGTACTATTATAGTGTATAAGAACACGAGTGAGGACAACCGAATGTATTTGAGAACGAAATTACAGAATATCTCACTAAAATCTGAGAACCATACATTAAATACTCCATTTGCAAAATATCAATCCATTGTCTCAAACTTGACTGTTCCTTTTGCAAATATCAATCCGTCGTCACATATTTCATTGTTCCTGCATTTTCATACGAATCGCCTTCCGTTTCTGTTCTTTCCTTCTCGATGTTCTACTGAAATACACTCTATTCCCTACTACCGTTATGTACTACTTATCTGAATATAAGTAGCTCACACCAAACTATTAGTTCATATGTTAAACATTGTAAAACAGATTGTGTAATTTTGAACAAATTATTTTCGGATTTTCAACAAATTAAACAACTATTCATGAAAATACTTGAAAGCTACTTGAATAATTGAAAGTGAAATACATATATGATCACAGGGATTTTTCATCTTTTCTTTCGATATCTTTCCCATTATTAAATGTACTACAACCAGACAAGCTTGAAAACATTCAACCCATCGAATCGTTTAGTGTTTTGTTTTCGTAATGAATATAGATTGCTTTTTAAAAGAAAAAACTAAGAAAATAGTTGGAAACGCCCAAAATTTGAACTCTGAACAATAGCCAACATGTACTTATGTAAATGCATGATAGAAGGTTATCGATCACTGGAGGCTGGTTGATCACATTGTCTCTACTGAACTGAGTAAGTATATGCAGAAAAAAAGAAATTTTTATCCGATAAAGATGTTTTCTGTATTTTGGCTAAAGCTTCTATGTACAGTTTTCATTTTTAGGTCCAAAACAGTGGAAAGAACTTTCCTATGAATTAATTCACAATAATTATTATTAAAATGTCTTGGTGTTTTCCTCATCAAACATGAAACTGAATACAGTAGATGAAAACATTTACTATTCTTTGCTGTATAATACTACTGGATACTTGTCTTAGTTAAATACATATATAGCAAGAATATGATCAGTCAACTGATTAGTAAGTCAGTTTTCGGTCTCATCATACAATTTGCTTTAATGTTCACTAAACTTGTCATCTACAAAGCACATGAAGAATATCAATTTGATCTGCCCAAATATCTTTTTATAAGCTCGTAACAGTTGTAAACTATAGGTTGTATTGCTAATAATAACAACAAGCAAGTGAGTGTCTAAAACGTAGTCTTTTAGTAATTAAAAAACCATTGAAATCAAATTTTGTGCTTGATGAAAGCTAACATAATAACCACTGGAGCCCAGGGTAATAACCACCAAGCCAGGGTACATGCAGTCCAGCACGAAGCCAGGTGAATGTATCATCAAGAAGGCTTAAATATCAAACTTACATAAATAACAAGTGGGACTGATATAATTAATGAATAAAATGTGGATTAACATTTGATGGGACGAATAATGCAAATGAAAATAACTACAATCAGTTAAAACCATTAAATTAGTAGATTTATTGTTGTATAACTAAGATAAACAACATAGTTAAAAGTAATGTAGATCTTCATTATCTACTTTGAGTTTTGTTATCTTAATCATTATGATAAAAAGAATATACTAATTAATTAGTATTAAGGTTTTTTCAATCATCATTTTATTTCGTACATGAACGTGACACTATATTCATGAAACATTGTGGATTAATGTATGATATGATGGGAAGAAAACTTAAAATTAGACTGATTTCTTCATTATGATTTTTTTTCCAATTCAGTGTGATGATTATCTAGTGTAACATTCAGTTTCGTTTAATCGTATGATATTTTATTCTGTATAATATATGATATTCTTGTATTTAATTGACATGAACTATGCTCAGTATGCGATTTGTTATAACTAAGTATTTTTAATATATGTGATTTTATCATAACTATTAATCAAAATGGGTGTGCGAATCAATATATAAATGAGTGTATTTTTGATTAGGGTTGTCGTCGTCGTGTTTTGGGGTTAATAAATCTTCACTTATACCCGTCTTTGTATTTCTACTTTCGCGTCGTGGGAATTTTCAGAGGTCCCTCGTTTCCAGTATCAGTGATAAACGATTCTGACATAACAATCAGTGACGACCAGATATAACAGGTAGCGTTCAATCGATATGACATATCAGTATATCGTTTGGCCTCTGGTTGATTCTACTTGATACGTAGTCCTACTGAATTAAATGCTTATATGATAATGGAATGAATACATTATATTTTTGCCTTGTCCATTATCTATCTATGCTATGCTTGAAACGATTACGAGTTCACCTAGTCTGCGAACGGAACAAAGACTCTGTGACCAAACACTAATAAGTCAGCTATTCTGATGCGTCCCAGCCCCCCTAACTAGAGAGAGAAGTAGAAGTTCGAAACGATGGAATATATTCCGTAAGCGGCCAGAAACACAAGCAATCACGACACATAATGAGTAAATCAATCTAATTTTGACTTCTTATCCCGTCATAACAATCTAATAACTTGATTATAAAAACTTAATTTTGCATTAGTTTGTCAATAAATTCATATTTTGCACTGAAAAACAAATCAAACACAAAAATCTGTTTAATCTTTAAGAAAAATACTCACCATTTAAATCTTTAGCTTCCAAGTTTTTAGCTTCAATAACTGAAACATTTAAAACTACGACAGGTGGCTACAAATAATATTCAAATAAAACAATGTATAGTATGAAAATATGCACTGAGGTAGCTTTTAAGTAAGAAATACATTATAGTACACTTGACAATATAATTTTAGCATAATAAAATATAAAACCAAATTATTTATCCCTTTAACCACTCATTATTTTCATTATATCACAGTTTGCAATGCAAATATAGGTTTCTTTCCTAATTACCATGCTACGTAATTATCTTTCTGCATATTATTTTTCGATAATCCTATGAAAAGACGAAGTTTATCACAATCGTGTAATACGTTTAGACAATACATTTCGAACAATCTAATCACATGTAATATACTTGTTAAGACATTTTGATATGAAAATTAAATGGTCAACTGGACAAATTAAAGCTAAGCCGTAACAAAGAAATAATAATAATAATAAAGTACAAAAAAACAATATGATTACCACTCTGGAGAATAAATCGGTATTACCAGGGTAGGTTAAGGGTAGGGACAAATTGTTTTTGAACCCACAAAGGAGGTTTCAGTTTCTGCGTAGCCAAGGCTTCAATAAACCTTACTATACGTCCTTGAAGGCTTTTGTATAACACTACAAATGCTGATTTTATATCAACCTTATGACCATTTTCAATCAAATGTTTCGCAATGGAGAATGATATCTGTCTATCCTGTGATTTTACTTGACAATTGGAATTCATTTGCTTCTGCAGCCATTTTAGTATTTGTTCACCCATGCATATTAGTTATTAAATTTTTCACAGGTTGAAATCATGAGACAATTGAAGCTAGACCACCATGGAAAACCTGAAAGCACTGGACGGCCGTTTCGTCCTAGTATGGGACTCCTGAATAGCGCTAAACATTATTAAAGTCAGTTGTAAATTTAGGTATGAATTTTCAAATTGAAATACTGTAGTGTGTGCTACTGATGTCGACAGATATAAGTAATATGTATTATTAATCGAAAGTGAAATACCTAGTAGTAGAAGATTCAGAAGATTGAAGAAGAGAGAATGAGAACAGAGAATGATTGTTGTGGAAATGAGGAAATAGTGAAGATTGAGACGAATGATTGACATTTTACAAGTTAAGTATTCAATGTATGGTTCTCAGATTTTGCTAAGATGTTCTATAATTGTGTTCAAATACATTCGGCTGTCCCCTACTTCTGTTCTTGTTCGCTACAATACTACCATACTCTAGTTTACTCTGAAAGATACTGTATCACGAACTTAAAGTCTGTTCATAACTATATTGATAACATTACTTAGTTCAACAAAGTGAAATATATACATTAGAAGTATTTCTCTTTTATGAACAAACTGATTGTATTTTTTAGGATTTTGGTATTAAAGCTTATAAGAATCATTTGAATCATTTTTGATTATTTTTCTTATCTATCGAATTTTATTAACATGGAGAAAATCAAGATATGGGCCACCATTGAATATTATGAGAAGGGGGTTTTGCGAAACATTTTAGTAATTTAATAGTTAAAATCATAAGTCAATTAAAGCCAGATCACTATGAAAAACGTGGAATGCCGGCTCAGTGGTTTACAGGTCAAGCATTCGTGTGCGAAAATGACAGATCCTGAGTTTTAATCCGGTAAAAGGGATCGTGGAGTCCCATACTAGGACGGAACAGCAGTCCAGTGCTTCCAGGTTTTCCATGGTGGTTGACTTATGATTTCAACTATTAAATTACCGTTGAATGGTTAGTTTATATCCAATTTATATTATTAACTTATTCCAAATTCCTTTACAAGATATAATGTTTTACTAATCTTTTATTCATAAATCAAGGACCTAGTATAGTGAACGAGAACACAAGTGGGAGACAATAGAATGTATTTCAACACAAAATTAAATAACATTTTAGTAAACTCTGAGAACCATAGAGTAAATACTTGATTTGCAAAATATCTAACAATTGTTTCAAAATTGACTGTTCCTTTTGCAAATATTAATCAGTCGTCTCCAACTCCATTGTTCCTTCGTTTTCATATCAATTACTTACTGTTCCCGTTCTTTCCTTCTTGACTTTCTAATGCCATATATTCCAGCCCTGACTACTGTTATATACTACTCATATCAATATAAGTAATACACACCATACGAGTATTAAATTCATTAAACTTCTAATTATATATCACATGTTCAAACCTTAGTTGTTGAGAGATATCACTAGTAAATAGACAAAGAGTTACTAATACAAGTAAATACCAAATAAAAATAAAACTATTTTATCAACTAACAATGAATTCATGACATTTAATTTTGGATCCCTTTAAATGTCTTTTCCAGTAAATAAATATTTCCTTTTATTTTCAAAATAAATAATATTTATATTAAGTTTTAAATTCAATCCATAATAGGCCGTTTTGTATTCGGATCATTTAATAATAACTATGCCCATAATTATGTATTTTACAACTATTCATTTATTTGTTTAAATTACAGTCTTCATAATTCATATATATATATATATATATATATATATATATATATGTACATCTTGAAATATTGAATATTGAATAATGCCTAGTTAAGGTGTACTCATGTTTTACAAATTTAATTATCACTTAAATTTTTCTGTTTGCTAGATTCCTTTTCTTGTTTTGGTTCATTTTTGTTTTATTTCCTACCATATCATTTACTTAATTATGATTATACTTGAATAAACAGTTAATTCTTTCATTTGTTTTTGTTGTTGTTGTTCCCTATTTCTTTTCAACTATTCATGATAATCCTAGTTTATCTGTTTTAAACATACATTTAATAATCATTTTTAATCAGATTTGTTTCGTCACATTTTTTGGTATTGAATAGTGAAATGATTTTAAATAAGAACTAAGAAAGTTTTCAATAGTTGAACTCATGAGTCCATTGAACCTAGATCACCATGAAAAACTTGAAAACACTGGACGACTTGTTTTTTATATTGTGGGACTCGTCAGCGGTGTGCATCCACGATCCCATCTCTCGAGACTCAAATTCAAGACTGATAGGTCCTGATTTTATAGAAAACCAAATTTATTTACCTTATAGTCACTAAATGAAACGTTTATACTTTACTTCATGTTGATTTACTGTTAGAAATTACACTTTGACATTATATGACCTGATATGTATTGGGAGAGTTGTCAAAGGAGTAGTTTTCAATCTGTTGTCTGAATGATGAAGTATTATGTAAATGATTCACTGTTTTTTTATCTGCAATGAAATCATGTTGGGACAAGTGAAACAGACTTTTTGGTTGATGCATTATTGTGATTTGTTTATCAGCACACTTTTATACCAGAGTTGAACAATATACAAAGTAGCCTTTCAATTTTCAGAAATGTTTTTATTAATTACCGAGATGCGGATATTTTTACAGTCATATAGACAATATCAGTCGGTCAAATATGATAAGATAAGGATTGTTTATTGTTTGACAAAGTATGAATGCAGTGTGACGATTAAGAGCTTAAAGAAATCAAACAGTGTTAATGTCAGACACTTGGTGTGAATTGTCAGAGTTTTCAAAATTTATATATCCTACTTGTCTGTTTTATTCAGTAAAATTTTGTACATTCTGAGCAAAATTTCTGAAATTATTCCTCATCTTTTGCGTTCATCACTATATTGCAAACCATTCTCAAAACAAAATACTCTAAAATAGTCTATCTGTTCAAAATTTACATTCCACAATTCGGCTTATATCTAAACGTTTACTGGCTATTTATATATACTCAGCGAGATAGTGTGTGGTGTTATTCGTGAAGGAAACCACTTGTACGTTTTTGTTATACTATAAGTGGAATTTATGATAAGCACTAAAAATCAATTCGGCTATCTATTCTTGGTATTTTAGGGGAACATTTGTATTCCCTACATTCCGTATTGTTTCAAGAAAAATAAATTATTATGAGATACGAAATGAGACAGTTTCAAATGGATAAGTGACAAATAAATCAATTACAACTAACAATATTAAAGCACATAGTAGATTTCCTTTACTTCAGTCGAACTCTGTAGCCTATCAACGTCAAATATATATATATATATATATATATATATATATATATATAATTTTGTATAGATTAGATACAAATAATAAAAATTGTGAAACACAAAGTTAGAACCTTAGCGTATTTCAATAATCTAATAGTGTAGTAGAAGTAGTAGTATGATCTCAACATAAATCAATAAACATTCTTTCAACTAATTACAAATTAAGGTTGGTTAAAAAAAACTTTTGTGAAACCTGAAACAGCGTTTGCTTGTTATCTAACATTATATTCCATAAATCCTTGAATTATATCTTTCTTCAATTAAACGAACACAAACGTTACTAGATATTAATTTGTTTTCAGTGTAAACATAAATAAGTCCACTGAAAAGTGGAATACCAAAATTTATTTATTCAATGGAATAAATATTTACCACTTAAGCTGAACAAAATTTCAATGGACTCTGACTAACCGACTAGCTCCCAATTTTAAATGTGACACGAGTTATTAAGTCATATAACGGATGTAAAGAAGATGGTAAATTGCTCATACATTTGCAGGTTTTGTATTCTATATACCATTTTCATCACTGATCGTTTACGGTTCACATCAAATGATAATGTCAGTTACAAAATTGTCGATGCAATCATGTTACACCACTCAATCACAACGTTTGGTGTATGTATTGTGCTGTAAAATATTTCGGCTAACTTTATTGGTTTGCCCGTCTTATGATACTAGGAATATCCTCCAACTAAGAGGAAAAGCAGAATTTGAAAAACGCTTCTATTCTCCCTCAAGTTACATACATGAACAGATAATATAAACTGAGCGTTTGTTATCATTTACTGAATGGACTATTGCTCTATAAAACTGATGCGTTAATTGGAGTGATCTTTACACACCCTTCGCTTTACAAGCTTTTCACCTACATCCTATGTGTCATCGTCGATATACTGCGCCGACAGACTAAAATCTGAAGAAAAAAAAACATCTGTCCTCCAGCTTTCGGCTAAAACCTACAGTTTTTGCATTTAAAATGTATAAGTATAGCCTTATTTTCCAAAAGGCTAACTAGTCACCTGAATAATTGTTTACCATTCATTACTCCATCTTTATCTCCAGCTAGAAAGTTTGCATAATACTTGTGTTGAATTAAATAAATAAAAAAACTAACGAGTGAGTTTCAAAATGTGCATAGTACTGCCGTAGGACTAGCTCTTTATCATAGGATTAAAATTGTAACTGATAAATTTACACTTTAAAGGAACAATGGCTGAATTGAGACTACTTTTTTAAATCTTACAAACTATGTCGCGTTTATGTTCCTGAAATGTTACCTAACATGTAAAAAAACTCCACAAACATAAGCTGATAAAATCTGTAGACTTAAGGATTATTCATTCTATTAGTCTATCTGTATATAGTACATTTTATTAATACTGAAAGAGCTACCAAGTCAACTAGAGTAAAACGTGAATTAAAAATTTCCCATGCAATACCGTGAAACGCGTTTGAAAGAGATTTTTGGAACTCTACTTTAGCTATTGTTTAAACTAATATTTCATATTATATGGTAAGTTGTCTAAAGTCTTAAGAAATAAGTGCCACAGTTTTGTTTAAATTCTGACGACAACAGTTTTACACCGCTTTTGATGTTTTAAGCTGTGTCGATGGCAAATGACAGGATGCTGAAACGATTTATTTGCAAGTGACAGATAAAGTTCATACATATTCGGTAAACTGACAGCTTGATAGTTGACTTATTATGTCAAACCGTGACTTCTTTTCTATTTTGCCTCAAGTAAACAATAATGTGTCCAAATAAATAATCAAACCTATTGTGTCTAAATGATGTACGAATTAGGTACTTAACTGGTTTAAAACTCACAACAAAGTGTTTGATAATCACATCACTTATTTAAATTAAATGTGGTTTGATTATTAAAACTATGAATTATTGTTCATCTGACACGTTTTGAGCAGATTTTGCAGGAAAATTGAATGCACAGAATGGTTAATTTCCCAATTTTAACATTATCCACTTATCAGTAGTCGTTTACGTCGAAAATATCTATCTTACGCATTTATTTTTAAATAACGTTCCTTGGGTCAGGCAACCTGAACTACTTTATTCTAAATTGAGGATTAAAGACAATCACTGAATATCTGTATAAGAAACTATGTCCGACTATAGGTTCGATTTTATGGCAAAAGTAAGAGTTGTGTGATGTTTGTATGAAGTAAGGATTTTTTGCACCTGATGACTGCCTGATTTTGAATTCCAGATACAATACGTTCATCTGTGCTCACCTAATTCTTTGTAGCCTGCATTGTGTTATTTCGAGAGCTCTTAATTAATCTGTTAACAAAAACGCCTGTATGTTTTAGTCTCTCAGAGCTCCTTATTGCCCATATCTTCTGCAACGAATCAAAATGGCAACATTTAATTGCTTAAAGCTGGTCTGACATCAAATTATTTTTACTGTCAGATGAGAGAAAGCTGAAGCTGATAAATTAACGCATCCAGTTATATATTTGGCCCCGTAAAATATTGTTTTTATGAGACAGAAATTGTAATAATTTGATAACGACCTCAAAAATGCCTAACAAAGTCATAAAACCAGACAGAAAAAGTGCTTATATACCATAAAAATATAACCATTCGTTTTTCAGATTATAAAACCTCAAACAAAAGATAAAAACATCTTTCTAATTTTGAACGAACGTATAACTTCCAAAACTTTTTAATATTCTTAAACTAACCTCAGCCTGACAAGCCTCCGTACGAAGATCGTCGTATATCTTTGTAGGTAAGTCAAATACGTTTTTCACATATTGGTCAATGACTTCAGCGTTACATGAGAATTTGCTGCTGGATTTCCCTATTTGATTCCTCATAGTGTATTGCACCCTGACAAATAAATACTCAACCTGTAAGAATAAAGATCAAAAGTTATGGGTTACATCGATTTCCTCGAAATCATCTTTGACGAGTTGAAAGTTTTCAGGAATCTCAGGAGATAATAACTTGTGATTTCGATCAGAAACACTTTTCTCCAGTTCCTCACAGGATAAATTCGTGAAAATTTTACAGTCGTACATTAAAATTCTATCTAGAAATTTAATTATATCCGTCTACTACTTTCGTTCCACAATGATTATGTTTCTTCTCGATAGTATGAAAGCATTTTCATAAACGTTCTCTTTACCGAAGGCTAACAACTGAACGATTCAAACAATTTGGAAAGGTTTAGCTTTTCTGTGTTGTATTACGAAAATATACACCCTAAAATATACCTTATACAATATATATAGCCTTTTTATTAGGAGTTTCAACCATACAGTTAGATGTGACCTCAGTTCTCTCAGAGGACAACTTCAAGTGGAAGATTGATAGCCATGTACCATCTTCCTTCTGAAACAGTCATGTGTGATGCATGTTTCAAAAATTATCATTACTAGCATTATAATTCCTGTTGTTTTCGCCACAGTTGTCCTTATTATGAATGCTTCAACTCTACCTGTGTTAATCTTTTGTTATGTCCATTTTTCTAACTTTCTTGCACACAATTTTTTTCCTTATTCTACGTATTTTGTCTGTGTAGTTGTTCCAATCATTAGCTTTGTTTCCCTATATTCTAATCTTAGAATTTCCGTGATGCGACTGAAAAACCTGTCCACTGATATTATAGCTGCTCTTTCCATCATCCCTGACTTAGAACAAACTTATTCATTTACACCTATGGCATATTAAATCTTAGCCATTGACTTAATCCACATGGACTAGTGTAGCTCAGTGGTCGAGCAATTTCGAAGACACAGAACTATCCTGTTACACCAAAAAGTGACCTCAAAGTTCGTACAGAAGGCATATGACGTTGAGCATTATATATGACTTTATCCCATAGTTTGGCTAGAAAAAATACCTCATTTTGAACGTTTTAAATTGATAGACACCGTTTGAATGATTTTGGTTCAATTACCTGTGTGTACGGCTGGTGAAATTTAACTGAGCCCAGATCAAGTCACTCGGCAGTGGGGCCACTGAATATCGTACAGTTCACCGATCCACGTCAAAGTCAAAAACAACCTATGCGCATCACTTAATCGCACGCCATGGACTGGCCCGTGCAGCGGTGTTCACACTCTGTTCTTTGTACTTAATCCTGCTAATATATTTCAGTAGTAACGTGGTTTGTGTTGTACGGTCATCAAAGCAGCCACAGTATCCTGACGTGACCAAAGGGTAATCCACGCTAGTTACCAACCGTGAGGAGTGAATTCCACGTGAGCTGGTTAATCATTATTTCTGTCCAACTCGAGTAGGCCTCCAACCATCCGAAACACATTGTCTACTTTAGTGATCTACATGTGTTTTCTCGATATTTCAGGCCTCTTTTATATTAGTTTTAGACAAAATTTGCCAGTCATACACAATACATTCTGTAAGAGAGAGAATACCTAGTAAATTCCTACAAAGTGTTTTATTGTACAGTATTTTTATCTCTTTGTTCTCTCACTCTATTCTTTATTTTAACTTCTACTCGGGCCTTCTGTAACCACGTTCTTTAATTTTCTATGTCTGGCTTTCTATGACCTGACTTTGGTTAAAATTTGTTTCTAATATTTCGTTTCGCTGTTGTATGCTCCCGAGTCATTGATAATATGATAGTGTTTGACTGAACTTGAGACTCGATTGATGACCGCTGGGTTTTAACTGCAAGCTGGAACGGTAACTTGAATACCTGCATATGTATATTTGATTCCATCTTGCTGGGGATACTAATATCGATTTTCAAGTACCAAACATTTATCTATTAACCATTCCTTCTGATGTTTAACATGGTATATTGCTTTGGAGAAACCACTACTATATAGCACAAACTGTACTCTATGAGGCATTTTACACTTTTGATATACTTTTGCTCTCTGTGCGTCTTTCTGCCTCTATTTTTCAGCGTCATCATGAAACGACATCAAACATATGTTTACAGAAGATATAATTTTAAAACCTTGTCTTCCATTTTACTCCTACATCTCAGAAAGTTTTATAGCTCACAATACCGGAAAAGTAACATGGGAATTATCTGTAGGTTACATAAGCGTTTTTACTGCACAACTATACATTTCCTGAAATATTTCACACTGTAAACCGTTTTTTACCTTATTACCACTATTTATTCACCACAATTTCTTGGTGACAACGCAGCGTCTAGTAAACACGCCAAGGCTTATACTGGAGATTAAATTTTTATTACCATTATTCATATTCATCGGAGCTGAGCAAATGTCAAACTTAATATAAGAATACCTCACAAAGGTACAGAAAAAAGCAGACAAAGTGAGAGCGGTATCGAACTTCATGTTCCTGACATTATCAGGAAATGTTTACCATAGTATTCTCGAACTGAACATAGGATCAAGTGGGTGCCCGTCTTTGAGACCAGCAAGCTGATTCATCAAGAATCGACCAAATCAGATGAAGTCTCAAAATGTATCAGCGTCATTCATACCAGTATGTTTTGACATTCACAAAGGGAAACACAAGGTTTTGAGCACAAATGGAATTACACTTTACGATAAAACTCTAAATAATGTTGGTTGCCTTCATACACCTGAGCAGCGCTATTGATAAAAAAGGAAGATCTGATGATTTGCAACCACAGCCCCTCAAAGGAGGGGCAACGTTACTGAAGTTGAAGAATACCTAAAACAAACTATTTGTCACTCAGTTCTACTGTATGGGGTTGAAGCTCAGAGTATTACCACTGTTGTGACCAAAATGGTAAAGACCAAATATTTAACCCAAAATTACTACGATTCGCGCAACCATGTGGGGCCATTCGCTCTCATACATATAGTGTGGCTTATATTTAAATATATGGTTAATAAGTCAACGTTAATAATTAAGCACTTAATAATGAATCAAAATACTACAGACATTTATAAACAACCGTCTACGAAGTTATCCTATGTTCACTGGCCAGAGACAAAAATTAATGTACACTATAAAAGGTACATTTTCAAGAAATCGTGTTAGTGTAAATACTTAAACTAAGTCTTTATCAAATGTGGTCCTTAATGATTATTGGGAAAATAAATCTTCAGTACCATGAATACTACTTTTTTGATCCAAATGGGCATATTTTACTGGGTGGTGGCACTTGGAGATCCGTTTGCGGCACAACATCATCCGACTGTAATTTATCACCCTTATCAGTCAGGCAGACGGTTTAAGTAACTCTGTAGTTTTTCAGTAAATCCCGACCACTAAAAGCTACGAGGAATCAAGAAGCATTGAACCGCTCCTTCTCCTATGAGACATCACAGCAATACATGCTTACGACAACAACAGTGACCGAATGTAGAGCATTTAGGTCTCCAGAAGAGCACTTGACTTTCAGAAAAGTGAGTTGATATTCAATGGCTTAAATTCTCAACGTCTTCTGATTTGTAATGCAGCATCAACATTATCTCTTGATATTGGTCCCACTTATCTCACAACGGATATGTTTGAAATTCATTGGCCATGAATACCGGAACTGTAATTTCAGTGAATAAATACCCATAACTAAACCAGGTTAGAAAAAATGACAAAGTTGTGTTTGATAGTGAAAAACTAAATCTAAAGTATATATTGATAAAAGAATGGATAAACCAAAAGAATGAAAGATAGAAATGAATACTACAAATAAAGATCAAGAATACATTGATTTATATCTGTAAATTAAATCAGATAATATGTTCCTATTCCAAAGTAATTTGTGTTTACTAATAAAGCTCAGTTAAACAGCCAATTACTTCATAGACTGGTTTCATTTTACAATTTCATCAAGCTACAATATTGCCTGTGTAAGTACAAAAATTTAATTTTCTAAAGAAAAGTATTTTGCGTGCTACTTATAAGTAGTATAAATAAGAAATTGAAAAGAGTCCCTACTGGCAGAAGAGGAAAATGAGTAAAAAAAGAAAAATAGAGAGCGGTCGCAGTAACAACAGCAATGGAGGGACGGTGGAGTTTGCAGCGGACATATTCAGGAAAATGTTCAAATAGTACACATAATGCATGATTTTCAAATTTTACCAACGCATAGTGTATGTTTTACATGAACCGCTGTGTTCTGCCCTGCCTAAGCCTTTGTACCTTACAGAAGTATCAAATTATTTTCTAAAGCCACTGATCACTGCATTTATAACTTGAAGGGTTATAATTAATTCACTACTGTATAACATATATAACTGTTCACTTTTCAGATTGATTTGTTGCAATAAATAACGTTATTCTACTAGTATTGTATCATGTGATTCTATTGTACTTAGGAAATAATTTATTGTAGTCTTCCATAAAGTACAAAACGTTCACATGATGTTAACCAATTTGTTGTAATTTTATTAGAGCAATCGCTATATATATCAATAAATGTGAGGGAACTAGATTGTTATGCCCAAGTACAAAGTGAATGTATGAATATATATAACAATTATAAGTATTTGAATTAATGTGCTAAGAATTTCGAAATAGGTCAGACAGAACTAGATGAGCACAAATAGAATTATTGCACTCGAAACTCTCAATCTTAACTGAACCAAGTTCAGAAGAATCATCAATCAGTACCACATCACAATATAATAGAATAATAATATAAAGATGAGAATTACATAGTAAACATGGTATTATGAAGATTGAAAAAAAAACATAAGTCGATTGAAGTTTTACATACAATAAGCAGAATAGAGATAAAAGCAGTAGTAAAAGAAAACAGTAGTTCAAAGAGACCTTCAAAATGAAGTCTAGAAAAAGTATAAATATTGAGAATTGATATCATCAGAAGACTTTGATATAAATGACAGTCCTCCTTTAAATGTGATAACTTCTAAAAAAGAAAATTCAATAAAACTTTTTTATGATGACGATTTATCTGTTGTAATTATGATTGATGATAATGTCTTAGATTATAATCGTTTGAAGTAAATCTGACAGATAAGTTAATCTTTAAACCTTTGTCCAATTTTTCATTGGATTTTCATTAGAACGTAATAATTGAAAAGACCGTTTCACATACTTTTCTAACTATATCTCTTCATCATCAACTTACACTTCATGTACGATTAAAATGAAATAGATCTACAAAAAAAATGGTAGGACTGATGGCAGACAGAATAGTTTATCATACAGTCAGTTATTTCACAAC